CGAAAATCGCGCAGTAATCAAGACCAGTAAAATACGAAAAGCTGTAAAAAGACCGTTAACTAATTAAGCATCTGCGCATTACTAGAGGAAAATGTATAAAAGTAAAAGACAATAGAAAAACTGTATTATTAGCCGACGCGTTTCGTCCAATGTAGACTTTTTCAAAGCAAAAACGAAATGAATTTATTAAAAACAAATTAACTATTAACAACAAATAAAATGTCCTTAACAACTAGAAGAATTTAGAAAAACGCTATTGTATTCATATTATCAACTGAAAATACGAATACAATAGCGTTTTTCTAAATTCTTCTAGTTGCTAAGCTCATTTTGTTTGTTGTTAATAGTTAATTTGTTTTTAATAAATTTTATACATATTGTCTTTTTCTACAGCTTAAAACTGAGAAAGTTTTCATAAGAGGAAAATATATGTAAACAATGCCAGTAATGGCGGCCGGATAACGCGAAAGAAATCGAACTTGCATTGAGGATAATTCGAAAACCTTAATTGAGCGCAATGTTTTAATGTCATATTCGACAAAAAAAAACAGGCAATTTTACACCAGAATGGTACATTCTCAATACCGGGGGCTTTTGGTGCTTATATTGTAAATTAACCGAGATATTGCTAAGCTTATCCATAAAGACGTAATTCCTCTTTCTAATTCTTAAGAGATCAGTACGTTCATAACAATGCTGCCACGTATGTTCCAATGACGTAATCTGAATAAGGCTAGCCTAGGCACACGGTTTTTATTCTCTTGCATTTTTCGGACAAGCGATGTTTTTAATGGCCGTCAAGAACAGTACGGTACAGCATACTTAATACTGAGAATAGCGTGAACTGAACATGGGAACAACTACGAAGTGTTAAATAAAATTGATACAAAAAGTACACTAATACTTAACATCAGGAATCAGTTGAAATTTCTAGGTCACATAATGAGAAAAGATGGCTTGGCAAATCTGATACTCACAGGACAGATTGAAAACAAGAGGGACAGTGGAAAACAACGCGTAACCTACCCAGCGGAACAAGGTTTGGGAAATATAACAAAAAGACAAATTTATTGAAAGCTTCGAAGGACAGGAAAGTTTGGAGAGCCATGATCGCCAACGACCTGTAGTGACACGGCACATACAAGAAAAATGTCAATATATAGAACATTAATAGCAACAAATTTAATTAAATATTCAGTTTAATTAAATATTCAAATTTTAAGTTTCATGAAGATCACATCCACTTATAGTGCAGTGGAATTGATTTTCCAGTATTTTATTCAAAACACAACCATATGCACACATACAAGGTTGACAATATTTGTACATTTTGGCCTGCTGTACTAATCTTACTTGTACTTGTGATACCAGGAGACAGTTCATTTGTTTTAAAAAAAATGACAGGCATGAAACGCTTGAAGCTAGAAGTGAAAATAATGAGACCAGGAAAACGCGGGTGCGACAATAGCAATTATAACACTAATTGTTTGATAACAGTAAGCAATTCGATAAATATATCGTCATTTTTTTAAAAAATGTATATATTTAATAGTCATCCTTGGTATCCACTGGATATCCCACACGCCACACCCTGCGTTCTTCGAAAAGGTCAATGCAATCAACATCGAAGCGCACATTCACCACAACAGACTTCGATTGGCAGATCATGTCATTCGCCTTGAAGATAGCAGAATGCAAAAGAAAACGCTATACGGCGAGTTGCTCTACGACACTCGATTCCAACATAATCCAAAATATATTTCAAAAACATCACTTATTCACTTTCGTTTATTAGACATTGAATTGTGTCTCTTCGTGTCTTCCATAACGTGTCTGATTTTTCAGCTAATGTGATGAATATTTGAGCGTTCCTATACTTTAAAAGTTTGAATAACCAATATCATTTTTGTTCTTGTATATAAATACTTGTTACAAAATAAAATCCTCGCATTTGCCTTGATAAAGCCCCTCAGAGGACGAAACGCGCCGGCTAAGTTTTCATATTGTCCTTTAACAAATGTATTCTATCTGAATATTTTTTTATATATATATATATATATATATATATATATATATATATATATATATATATAACATTTTGGAATAAGTACCTTTAATAAAAAAGTAAATATAATTCACTCGGATGAAAATGCATTGAAAGTGCCAAGAGTAATGAATCTCCTACGTTTATTATACAAACGAACTCTTTAAATTTGGTGAGACGGAAAAGTACTAGGAAGAGGAAAAACGTCAATTATGTCCTGACCTCAAAAAGAAGAGGTATTGAACAAAATTTCACGGGAAAATTATATCAGCGGGGTTTTGTTGTAATGAAATGTCTCACACTCCCTATCGCTTATGTGGACTGACTATATTAGTAGCTATATCTAGTGAGCACCGGATATACCTGGGGGATTGCTTTGCAATTAGTTGGAGATTGGTCTCCAGCTGTGCTCGTCGAACTCTCTGTCTTAAGGCAGAAAGGAACCCAGGCGAGGGTATGCCGAAGGGCAGTCTCTCGTCTGGGGTGGTAGACAGCTACCCGACCCCGTTTTTTACGGGGTCTACGAGAAATTTTTGCCCGAGCCTACGGGCTCGGATACCCCACGTTAAATTCGACCTTGTGCCACATCTGACTGCGTGGGGCGGTTGGCAAATATCATTGCTTGGCAATTTCTAGCCAGCCACCCGTAGTGTATTCTCTTTTACAATAAAGCTCTGTTTCATCTACGCTCGGGTTGCTGTTCCTTCACTCGAGTACCACCTTTGTCTGTAACCTTTTTAAGGATACAGCAAAATTTATCTTGATTTCTTACAAAATACTGAAACAACGTAGTATAAACGCAAGAAGATGAATAATACGGGGATTTAAAATCTTACTTTTCGATCGAAACGGTTAAAATTTAAAAAGAAATAGAATAGAATCGAGATTTCTGTCGCTCAAGGTTTTTGTATCAAGTTTCGTCTCATTAACGTAGATTTTATTATCGTGAAAACATTTTCTGATAACGCCGGAAAATCGACGAAAGAAAGTAAAAAAGATTTATGAATTGTCTTCTATGATTGCGACAATTATTATATATTGTTTTCACACAGTAGGTACAGGTAGAGAGAGAATTACGGAGACAAGTATATTTATTGTATCTTTTATATAAAATCTTGGCACAAGGCCAAAGGCGAAGTGGAGTGAGGCTGGTCGTCATTGACTAAAACTAAATAATCTGATTCTCGACTCCTCCATTCATTACAATTTATTCATTCACCACAAGAACACGTCCATCTTCACCCAATCCTTACCACATTTTACAGGGAAACCTACTAAAAACATAATGTAAAAAAATTATGGATATTTACATTTTTTTTTTGTTCTATATTTTAAGCAAATGCGAGAAGAAAACAATTCTAATGGTTTAAATTTTGGTTAGCCATCATTTATTGATACGTCACGATTTGGCATCTTGGCATCATGTGATTACGTCACTTATCTCCCCCCTCCCCACTAACTTCATAACAAACTGATTTTCTTCCACGTTTTTGTTTTGTTTTTTTTTTTTAATTTTGATATTCATTTAATTGTAAATGCATAAGACTATTCTTGCATGAAGTCGACTTATGCTAAAAAACAGATTTACTACATGAACTTCAATACGTCTAAATATTCCTTCAGTATTGTGGATTTTAAAAGCACACGAATTTACTAACCTCAATGAGCATAGACCGAACAATCGCCTTTATTCAGCATATAGAATCAATAATATGACTCAATATGAGATTTTAAAGTGCTGTGAAAACACCGTGTGAAAGGTTAAAACAAAAAAGGATACGTGATATTTTGTATATAATTAACACAGTTAACTAACAGAACTAACCAATATCAGGACATTTCTCTCCCTTCTCCCAAGGTCAAAGGTAAAAAGCAGTGCTGAAAAAGTGTACAAAATAACACCCTTTCAAACCTTATAGGAACAATTTATAATTTCAATTTGAATTCAGTTCCGTTTTTTTTTTTTCAAACAATCTATCAAAAGTCGAATTATACATGCAACACAAACTCACATTGAAAATACATACAGAGAAAGATAGACAGATATAACAGCTTACGCTTTCTATGATTCGCATTTTAACACTTGTTTATGTTCATAATTTGAAAATATGAAATCACACAACTGACAGCGCCGAGCGGATGAAACTGCAATTGAATGGAATCGACATTGCCAAAACTTCAGAAATAATACTTCAGATGTAATTTAACCTAAATATTTCATAGATTGTGAAGAGAAGGGACGAATTATTACTATTGTCAGATCACTCGCAGATTTTGAAGTATCTCAATAACAGTTAATTTAAATCTCTCAGGTTGAATATTTTGCTCAGTTTCCAATATTCTCACGTTTATCAGTTGACTTGCAGATATATAATAACGTAAAGTCGAGACTAAACCCAATCAAATGTATTTATTCAATAAGTTTAAATATATATAATTAAATTGTGTAATATTTTTTTCTTCTTTTTTTAACTACTGACATAATATTTTTAGTTTTAATCGTTAATAGCACTGACGCCTTCATACTAAATTCAACAGAGCATAAAACCGTTTTCGAACACACTATATCAAAGTTACTGTCTTTACATTACAATCAACTAACGACGACCAGTTTTTATTTCAACCGGAGCTTACGGCGCCGTATAGAAAAAACAAGATGAAGGCCGAAAGATATTTAAAAAAAAAAAACAAACAGAACAAAAAATAAAAACATAATTTCAATAAACTATTAAAAATAAAATACAGTCAAAAATCTACAATTAAACATTATTGAACATCAACTTAAGGTAAACTGAAGGCGGCGAGTTGCTTTCTATAAAGCAATACGATTCTACAAAGAGACGAATTTAAAAGAGGATCGCACTTGGGTAGGGAGAGGCGGGATTTTCATGCCTTTAATAAGGTGGGCCAGGTATTTTTCTATGATTCCTGATTTTTCTGTTCGGTTCCTTCGCAGATGTCTGTCCAAGACGGCAAGTTATGTCACGTGGGCGCAACGCCCACTTACGACTGTCGCAGCGAGCTGTCCACCGGCTCTTCGAATAACGACAGTGGCCATGGCTGGAGTGAGGGAGACACCGGTCACGTGACAGAAGAATCAGGTGGGCGCCAATTGAAGACATTACAGCGATTAGTTGCTGTTTTTCACGTATTTTTCTTTTCTTCAAACCATTTCTTTAATATTTTTTTTTTCCCTAATCATAATGAATCACCATTCATCGATCCATTTATTAACAATTACCTAAATGCCGATCTCTCGCATTCGGTTATAATATACGGAGAAATGACATTTATCATAATAGTTACTAATTCATATATAAAGTTTATAGACATTTTATGCCTATTGAGTTTGTCCATCTTCCTCCCCTAATTGCGAACGACCCTTCTCAAAAGCAGCATAAAATTTCCTGAACTTTTATAACGGGTGGGACATACCGTTTTTGGATATGTTCTATTAAATTTTAAAATAACATTGCACTCAATGCACTACTGACGACTAATACCGTTTTTCACATAATACACTAATTATACAATCCCGAGGATGACACAAGAGAATTGAAAGCTTGGACACGGCCATTATAAAGGTTTTGTAAATTTCGGTACATCAACAATTGCTGTTTTTGCAAATGATCATTTGCAATTTGCAGAGGAAGATGGACAAACTCAATAAACACAATGTTTATACTCCTTTAATAAAACATGTTTGAAGTAACAATTGCTACCTACACACACACACACACACACACACACACACACATACACACATACATATTATATACATAAGACGGAGACTCTAATTATCCATTTCGATTATAAATTTATTTCGTGAACATCGAAATGTTCAACTCTTCAGATCGAAATGTGCTCTGTAAATCTTATTGAGCTCTCCCTGAGTTTATATCCTCCTCGGAATTATCTCTTCCAGTCAGAAACTGGTAAAACATATAAAACAAACTGAACATTTGCAACAGTAGAACTTACAGAATGGCAGAATCATGGGGTAACTCAGATAATATTCCTTAATTTGATAAAGATCCTCACTCTGTTTTAGTATTAGGCCAAAACATATGTCTTGTTATTTAAAAACGTTAGTCAGTTGCTGCTGTATCTCTTCTTCTGTGCCAAATGTTCAGATGAGCTCCATTCTTTAGTTTTATCAGTTCAGACCTTTACATCTGTAGAATTCTATGTCACTTCTCCAGAGTCGAATCGGCCTCATTTCTTCCGTTTTGTAAATGTAAGATGAAAGTTCCATTAACACAGCTTTTCGAAAAATACAGACACAGTATGGAGCGGACTCCAGCGTGCTTGTTGCCTTGAACGCTACAATTTTAACATCTTTTAAGTCAAAGGTCAATGAATCGTTATCCTTCCGCCTTATCCCAATAATGTTCCCGTCCTACCACCTTCTTTTCGATTCATATCATGCGCCTCATTTACCATTGCCATTTTCACTATAACGCTCTAATGTGAGTGTCTCTCGAGTCTTGTATTGCGTGAAACTTTTTTTTCTTTTAATTATGTTATAAGATCACAGGTTGTGGGCACCTTCTCTGAAACATGATTTCTTTCACAGAAGATCATATTATTTCTTTCTGTAAGCATTATTTTTGGTGGATGTACATATTTGAGTGATTTTTTTTTTTTTTTTTTTTGAGCAGTAAAATTAAAATACAACAGACTAGATTATCAAAATCATATTAATGAAAATGTGCCTCTCGGCAGGTATCGAACCTGCATTCCTCTTTTCTAGGAAACCACTTTAGCTAAGTGTGCCATTACTGTTCCTGTCGTCTTATAGTTGCATTTAGAGGAGAGGCAGTTTAAAAAAAAAACGAAAAATGGTGATATCTACTCAAACACGTTTACCTACCACTAAAAATAACTTCTATTACATATATAATATATTCAGCGAAAATATATAATATATGTATAAAAATATTGCACAATGAGTGCTGGTCGTTAAAATGACAGAGCTAAAATTTATACGATTAATAATAAATATACATTTTTTCTCCACCGTTTCGTACAACACGCAGCAGTTGTAAAATTTAAATATTGCTGTTACAACAGAATGATTTAATGAAGTTTTAAATAAAACATAGTAATAATGGTGATTTTCTAAGCGTAGCTTAGATGTGGTACTATTGCGTCTCGAACTCGCCTTTTCAACCGTAATTGATCTCGCGAGACAAATGTGCTAACCATTACACCACCTCGAAGTACTTGAGACATAGTTCTAATGAATGACAAAACTATCTGCTATGGTATATACCGTTTTATCTTTGAAACCAATTTAAAATATCTTTCGTTTTAGATTTAATACTATACAAAACTAGTGAATTTTTATTTACATTTTCTTTTTTATAAATTAATATTCCTTAATGAGTTTAAAGTTTAACTGCGTAATAGGACGTATTTATTTTTGAAAAGCTCTTTGGTAGATATTTTGGAAATTCTTCCGCGTTACAATAATATACTGAGCTACGACCTTTTGTTCCTCTTTCTTAAACAAAGGTCAAAGAACACACCACTGACGACGCTATATTGTATTTATTTTTCACTTTGTGTAAATGTTTTCCGAAAAAGTCATCACAATTGCCTATGAATAAACTATATCTTTTGATTTTGATCTGACTGCCATTAAACCAGCCTATGGCCTGAAAAACAAAATTTAAAACGACTAGATAACAAAAATGAAAAGACATATATATTCATAGTTTATATAAGCTAGACTTCATAAGTGCACCATGTACTCTTAAGATATGATTTTTAAAAAAAAGAAAAAAGATAGATTGATAGTAAGTAAAAAAAAAAAAAACATCAGAATGTTTCTTTCCTTAACAGGACAACTTAGAATATTTACAAGTCGAATTCTTGCAGTTAGGTATACTATTGCGTCAGAATACGTAGCAATTTGTCTCGATTATAAGTCACTAGTGTTTGGCATTATACAAAATTGATGCTTTTATCTCGAACCAATCATATAATCAAAGTGCAAGGATTACAATAAAAGTAATACTATCAAAAGGAACAGAATTTAGATGCACTTTTAAGCCAAATAATGTTTCATAGTAAAAACATATTTGGACGAACCTTTTAAGTAGCTTTTCTTATACTAATTCGATTTGTTTTTTCGTCATATTTAAGCTGTATAATGTTTGAAGTTCGACTCGAGAATTCGCGAACTAATGTTATTTTATTCGTAAATTGTTTTAGAGATTAAACTGACCTGAAACGTTGTAAGGAAACAAAAATATCAAAAGTTTTAAAAAAAAAGAAAAGGTAAATAAAATTTATTTTGCTAAAGTTTGCTTTTCAGCTGTCTTTTCGTATTTTTCAACAAAATACACAATTTCTAGTCTGATATTACTTGTTAATTTGATTAAAAACTCATTATTAAAAAAAAAACTTCAAATTGTTAACTTAAATGTTTTGAATGTTAAACTTGCTTTGCAAAACATCAAACTATCATTTTTCTTTCTTTCTGAATATTATTTACTAAGTATGACATTGTAAAACGCAAGGCTACAACAGTGAAGCTTCCAGTCAGGATCGAACTCGTCACTCTCGTGAAGGCCTGTAGGACGAGCTTGTTACCAACTAATCCACCAGATGCTCAAGTTATTTACTAAGCTTAGTGTTGAGATGTTGTGAGTTTCCCGCGTGTCGGTGTATGAATCAAGACAAACACAGTTGTAGAGGAAAATACTGGTATATTCATAAAAGCAATTAACAATAGAGTGATTAGTAGAACGAAGGTTGGTTAGTACGAAACAATATCCAAAGTCTATAGTCCAACGGTATGTCTCGGGTAAGCTTGACTGGACTGCTCTCTCTCCCTCTCTCCCGAGCTGACTTATATAAGAGGGACCAGTCCATTACTAGTTAGAAGGTGGGTGCGCCCCAACACTTAGCTTAGTTCTACACAAGGCGACAACAGAGGCGTGTCCAGTTCAAGTTCACTCCTGCAGTATTGATTGACTTGCCTAGATTACTATCCTTAGTTTCACTGCAAACGTTCCCTGGTTATTTAGAGAAGTTAGTCTGTTTAAAAACTGATAGCTGTGGTGTGACTCTTTTGAACACATCTGTGTCCTTATACATCCCGCGCAAATAGACATTCACTAATTGATTCAGCTTCTTGCTTTAAAACTGCTTACCTTCTAATAGCATATAACGACCAATATCTGCGACTAATAATGGCTCCTCCGCGCCCCCTTTTTTTTCCCCCTTTACTAATATTGGTCGTTGTGCTCTTGCTCATTAGATCATTCTACATATTTGTGCAACACTTTCCTGGCATTTTCATAATAAGTCCCGATTATGTAGTGCAAAGAGATAGAATGTATGGTTGTTAGCAAAAGGATGAGCCCAAAATGCAAATTACAGATCAGATAAACCAAAATCGAACAAGTAAAAAAAAAAAATAAATAAATTAAATATCTGGGAAATGTTTTAACAGAGGACAGAAAGTACGACACTGAGATCCGAAGGCGCATTGGGATAGCCAAAAATGCCTTCCAAAAGCTAAGCACAGTATTAAGATACAGAAAATTTTCGTGAGAAACAAAAAGAGTACTGAACTGTTACGTGATATCTGCTCTCCTATATGACAGTGAATGCTAGAAAATCTCCAAAATTTCTTCAATTTTGAGATTTTCCAACATTCACTGTCAGACTTGAAACAACAGATAAGCGACTTTACAGAAGGATGATGAATATACCACGGACCGAATGTGAGCAATGACGAAATTTTAAAGAAAATGGAATAAAAAAAAAAAATTCATCAAGAGACAGTTGAAATTTCTAGGGTACATAATGAGGAAAGAGGGCTTGGAAAATCTGATACTCAGAGGACATATTGAAGGCAGGAAGGAGAGAGGAAAACATTGCATAACATACTTAGTGAGCTTGAATAAATGGATGGCAGAACAACGTTTAGGAGAAATAACAAAAAGACAATTTATTAAAAGGACAAAGGACAGGAAATTGTGGAGAGCCATGATCGCCTACGTCCTGAGGGGACATGGCACATAAAGAAGGTTGTTCGCTGGCGTTTTTTTAACCTTTTTTTTCTAACCATTAAGCACACAAACTT